TTCCCAGAACTCAGTGGAGACATAGATGATGTGGTTTCCCATAGGTTATGACCTACAAGAATCAGAATCTTGAATAAAAACCATTGCTGGGATTTGTTGGATGGGAGGGAATTAAGACAGAGGAAAGAATGTAAGAATATCAAACCACAGCAGCAGAGGACTACTGTCAGGACTGCAGCTTTTCTCTTTCAGATAATCTCTCTTGGTAAGCATTGCACGCTAAAGGAACACCTTCTTCAGACTCAATACTCTAAAATTAGTACCTTTAGAGACAAATAGAACAAAAGCCTATATATTCAGAATCCAAAAGAATGTATTTAAGTTTTAGAATCATTATTAGATTTTTTTGCACTACTCTTTTATACTATAATTTTGAAATCGGACATAGCAATGTTTGGCAAGTTCGTGTCAATATGGCATGACACAGGGGAAAAAAAAAGTAAATGCATTTCTGTAATATTTCAGTCAAAAACATTTCCAGGAAAAAAGGAATTATTTCATATAATTCCATTTTTAAAAGTATAATTTCATCTGGGTTATCTGTATAATCTTGCTCTCCTGGATTCAAATTTAAAACCAGAATTATTACAGAGAAAGGCATGAAGGATGAAAGGATGAGAATGAGATTAAAGAGCTTGTTTTACTAGAGGAGATGAAGTCTAACATGAAGCACAAAGATCACAAGTGATGGGGAAGGAGAAAGGAAGCACACTGCAGTAGATGGGGGGGGGGGGGGGGGGGGGGAGAAAGATATTAAGGTTTAAATAACAGTTGACCAAAAGAATAATGAGAATACCTTGACAGAACTGGCATGAAAAAGGTATTCGAAGGAAATGAGAAGATTGTCAGCCCTCAGCACTTCCAGTAAAAAGCTTGGGAAGGCTAAAGGAATAGGAAACAGCCAACCAGCCTTGAGGCAGTAACACAGCCAAAGCTGACCACTGCCCTTCCAGCAACAAACCTGGGGCTGCCCATGTGTCTCCTGCTTCACCTGGGCTGGTCTTCATAAATAGATTGCTAAAAAATCACTTTGTGGCTGCTTAACCTACTTGACACAAAAAGCAGTAAGGACTTTCTGAATTGCCTCAAGCAATACTCCGTGCTTCAGAGCTATTTTTATCACACCTCCATATTTAAAGGAACACTGTTGCATTCAATAATGGAGGAAGTTATCAATTAGGTTATTAATAAATACTTGTAAGGCTATGTCCTACAGCCGACATAAACGCTTTCGTTTTCTGTGGAGAGCCTTCTACAGAACCACTGAAGGCAACAATCTTATATAATCCAGATAAATACATCCAGCTCCAATTTAAATTTTCTGTTCAAGCTACTTCAGCCAGGAGTCTGTCCCGAACATCACTCTGCTGAATTTCAGCATGCACTTACTCACAGAACATTTATATAAAGTTATTCTTGTAGCCATATTGTCATTGAGGTTAAGGCACTCTATACCTTCTGCAGTTGTTCTTTCTCGTGTTAACATGGTGCAGTCAGTTCCTCTCCTTTCCCTCTATTTGGCCACACAAGCAATCATAGAATCATAGAATCGTTTAGGTTGGAAAGGACCTTTAAGATCATCGAGTCCAACCATAAACCTAACACGGCCAAGCCCACCACTAAACCATGTCCCTAAGCACCACATCTACACACCTTTTAAATGCCTCCAGGGATGGTGACTCTATCACTTCCCTGGGCAGCCTGTTCCAGTGTTTGACAACCATTTCAGTGAAGAAATTCTTCCTAATATCCAATCTAAACCTCCCCTGGCACAACTTGAGCCAGTTTCCTCTTGTCCTATCACTTGTTACTTGGGAGAAGAGGCCAACCTCCACCTCACTGTAACCTCCTTTCAGGTAGTTGTAGAGAGTGATAAGGTCTCCCCTCAGCCTCCTCTCCTCCATGCTAAACAACCCCAGTTCCCTCAGACACTCCTCATAAGACTTACCCTCCAGACCCTTCACCAGCTTTTTTGCCCTTCTCTGGACACACTCCAGCACCTCAATGTCTTTCTTGAAGTGCAGGGCCCAGAACTGGATGCAGTACTTGAGAGGCGGCCTTGCCAGTGCTGAGTACAGGGGGATGATCACTTCCCTAGTCCTGCTGGCCACGCTATTTCTGATACAAGCCAGGATGCCGCTGGCCTTCTTGGCCACCTGGGCACACTGCTGGCTCTTAAAGCAATGTTGCTGTCACCTCCTCTTACAAGACAGGACCTTGGACAGGTCTGCAGCCCTCCCCATGTCCATTCCTGTTCCAAAGAGTCTCTTTCAGCAAGATGCCAAACTCAGTCTTTGTTCCTCCTTTCTTCAAAACCATCACTGCTTAGATACCATGGTTAATAACCTCTTAGATATTTGCTCAATTTACAAGTAATAGATACATGACAGATCTCAGGAGAAAATTGTTATGAAACCATGATGGAAGACAAGTATTTGTAACTAGTATTATTTACAACACATTCTGATAGAAACAACCAACCACAGAGCAACAAAAAAATACTCCTGTGAGGTTTTTATGCCACAATCATTAAAATACTGGACATTGTTAGACAGGCTTAGCAAAGGTGTGTTTCCACACAGTAGTGCAAGCAGCTGTGCAGAACGGTGATCACTGGTGACAAGCTCCTACTGATCACAACTTTCCTGTCTATCTGCGTTAAACAATTTATTAATTTTACAAAGGTAGAATTATACCACAGATTGGCATATCACAGAATGGCTTAACTATAATGCAAATGACCTCAGGCTTCTGAGGAAAGCAAGTTTGCTTTCCAGTCACAGCTGAAATCAGTAAGACACTACAAATGCATAGATGTCTCCAAAATACAGTGGCTGTGGACTTGAATACTGGCCTCACTTCAAACGCAACAAAGATTTCTCCAACAGAAGGGAGAAAAAAAATTAAATAATATGGGAATGATTTGATAAGAAGCTTTTACACCATTAGTGAAGAGAGGTCATGACATAAATCAGAGAGAAATCTACAACTAGAAAATAGCCTGCAAACATCCTGAACTACTTTTGAACTCGATCAAAGAAAGCAACAGAAATTTGAGCAAGGTGCTTGCTGGGGAGAGGAGAGGGGAAAGCGTTGCAAGGACTGAAGAACTCAGAAGAACATTGTGTTTGCCACCTCCCAGCTTCATCAGAAGTGATCTCATCACGTACTCTCTGCAGGAATATCCACTGGCAATGACTGCTGTTCCTGGTGCAAACCTCCCACTGACTTCAATGGGAACCGGCAAAGATAGGGAAGAAAATCCTGGCTTGACTGAAACCAACAGAAATTATGATAAAGCCTTCAAAGAAGGATAAGACTGCACTAGGGAATCATATTTCAAACAGCCTGAGGTTTCCCCTCAGTGCTAAATTTTATTAACATATTAAAAGGAATACAATCACAGACCCAACTGGAAAACTCAAGCTGACTCCAATAATTTTGCTGGAAATATGCTAATTCACACCAGCCAAAACTTTGCTCCTTTTACATGCTGGTATTACCCATCTTGAAAAGAACTAATTCTACAGATAAAGCCTATTTCTTCTTACATAAATCAATGGCTATCTTTAATGGTGTAATATTAATTAACTGCATACTAATGCAGGTTGTAGAAGCAGAAATGTAACCTCCATATTTTGGTAGTGACAAGAACTGGGGGGAAGAGAAGGGGAGAAGAGAAATAAAAAGAGCAAGAATGAGCTGAAACCAAGGAATAAGTATTTCCTATTCAAAATATCCCAAAGACCTAACAGGGAAATAAGAACTTGCATGATACTTCACTTTTGAAATTGTATGCATGTTTCAAAAAAAAAAAACCAAAACAAACCAAAAACCAAACCCAAAACCCAAACCAAAAAAATCCTACTACATAAAGGCTGACACATATTCTAAGCAGCTGAATCAGCCTCTTGACATTTAATACATTCATTTGTAACAGACTAGCTTCCCAAGCAAGAGAAGAGACATCTTTAAAAGTCACACAATGGAGGTCAGTGAAAGCCATTTCCTAAAGCTTTTTCCTAAAATCTGTTGCTTTGGCAGGGCAGGGGGAGTAATCTGTCTTTTGATAAAGGGTAAATTGAATCAAACCATTTGCCTTCAGGAGAGCTGAACAGGGTAAATCAACCCAAAGATAAAGAGACCGAATAGAAGAGCTGGTCAGACAAAAATAAAAGTGTCAGTGAGGATGGTATTATGTATTTACAAGGGAGCTGAATTTGGATGGACATACGAGGACAAGCTCTCCTCACTTTTCAACTGTTTACTACTTTTGCTGTCTGTCAGAAGTGATTCTTAGTTCAGGTTTCATGGTGAGAGGATTGCTGCAGACGTTTCCTCCACACTGCCTTGAAGATTCATCCCCAGATGAAAAGTATTTCCAAGTGCCAGCCTGAATAAATCTCGACTTCATTTATTCAGAGTAATGATGACATCCAGTGGCCACCAAGTTAATTTCAGCCTACGACAGCAGGATAACCTCTTATACAAGAACAGATAATCTCTTTCCATAAAGGTGTATATTAACTCTGCTCTTCCACCTCCTAGTCTAGAAGTAGGAGTGCATTACAAGGAACACTATAATCATTGAGCAAGAGTCTTCCTATTCAGGCTCTCACATGAACTCTAACCAAGCCTTTTCAGTTCTATCTCACATTGAAAAATTACAAATGAAAAATGCAAACACTTTTAAGCAGTTCCATGGTACTCAAAGAAGCTGCAAACCAGCAAAAATAAAGGTACATCAAGGAAGGGGGTGTGGGAAGAGAGGAACCTGCATATGCACACACACAAGCCACACAAGCTGTTAAAGCTGCTTGCCACATCTACCAAACTGAGTCACATGTACATGCTTTTAAAAGACATGGAAGAAACCAATTTTCAAAGTGCTTCAAAACAAAACAACGATGTTTCTGTTCCCCACTTTTGTAAGGAACTCAGTCAAAAACACTTTAAGCATGCTTGTGTTCTTTCACAGAGAACATCAGTTAAATACTTACTTGCCCAAATACTTCTGGCAGCCCCAAAACTTGACCAGCAAAAACGCCAATACAGATGAAAATCGCTGTGACCTGACCCAATGAACCACGGATTTCCTTAGGGGATATTTCACTCAAATACATGGGAAGGGCACTAAGAGAAATGCCTGTGAAGGAAGTAAAAAATCATATATTGTCAAATCACCTTTTCATTATGCCAGGTAGAAAACAAATGTCTATTGAAAGGAGTCTGAGTGCTAATCTGCTCACAAGAGTGGCATAAAAAATCCACAAAGAACAGAATTATATCTATCCACAGATAATAAGAATTGTCTTCTCTGCATGTCTAATTACTCTTGCACTATTTAATAACCATGGGATTGATTATCTGTTGCAGATCTACAGTGATGTGCGTAGGCTGCTATTTGATGAGAAGCACCAAAGGTTACTCAGAGATGAGAATCACCAGGAGAACAGATCTTATGTTTTATATTTGCTCATCCCAAAGCAAGCAAAATCCCGTTAGCACTGGTGCAGGTAAGGAAAAAAACCCCAATGCATCAGGCAGAGAGAGCAGACACTGTCAGCAGAAATATTTTTACTATAAATGGTACTAGCAGATGTTCCTTTCAATACAAGCTTACAGCTGCAATGAACTCTTAATAGCAGGCATAAAATAAGGGTGAGAATGCTGCTCAAACCCAGGAGAAAACAAATGCATGACCCTGGTTAGTACACTGACAATATTTACACAGCTCCTGAAATTTGGTAGTTTGGTGATAATCTGAGACTAAAGTTAGCAGTCAGCACCAAAACTACCCATGAATTTCACATTGCAAGTGACGGACACATCCACTTTCAAATAACCATAGTTTGCGCTTACTAACAACATAGCCAAAGCTTGCCAGAAAGGGCGCTTAGTGATGCAAAAGTCAGAGCACTTTCCACTGGTTAGAGTCATGTAATTACACTGAGAATGTAAAACCATCTTAATTCATCAAGTCTGTCTCCACATTAGGTAAATATTTCTCACTATCTAGCGATCTGTGAAGTTGCCGAGATCCTCACTGCTAGCTGCAAGACTATTCTGGTGAAGCAGTGCCTCCATGGTTTACTTTTAAACCGGGAAGACTATGTTGCTAGGAGCAAATGATGATGTACCAAACCTTCCACTTAATCCTACTGGTATTGGCATGGGATCCAACAACTTCTAAACACAAAGCAGCAAGCAGTTTTAATAAATAGACTACACCCTCCTAGCCAAAGGATTTTCATAGCATGAAGACAGATACGCTCCACTGGGGCTGGAGGAGGTAAGGGGGAGGAACAACCAGGGTGGATTGCAGCAGCTAGCATCCATTCCAGTGTCTTCTCCAAACATCAGATGCTCTAACCCTTAGTCTGCTGTTCTGTCCCAGTGAAATCAGTGTGGCTAGTCCCTGAAATGCCACTTTAATGTACAAAAAAGTTCTAACTGGGGGAGAGGAGAAAGATTATGCATGGCACAAGCATTTCAGATACGTACAGCATGATAAAAAAGCTTACCTGCATCAACACCCATTATAATGCGGCCCAGTATGAGCATTTCAAATGACCCCGCCAACGAGGAGAGGGACATCAACAACGCAGCTGTCACTGCAAACACATTATTGAGCAGCAACGTACATTTCCTAAAAGGAAAAGATATTTTATGTAGATACCAGCATCATGACAGTTAAATGTAGTCATATTCAAAGCACACTAGGCTATTATTCTTAAATATCCATAAATAAAAACAAAAAGTGCCAAACAAACACTGCCTCTTAGATCTTGTGTAGAGTTCCAACACACTCAAATGGATACAGTTCCATACCTATACTACAGCTCTAAAATAAAACATCATAGTTAACTAACAAGCTGTACTTCAAAGGCACAGCAATTAGCCATCCTACACATCTGTATAGAGACTCTGTAAATGAATATAAACAAATGTACTCTGGGTAAATGTATATACGTAGGAACCAGAGAATATACTTCAAACAGCAATAAGCTGATGTAACTTCAGGAATTTTTATGCTACATTCAGTTTTTGCCATTTTGAGAACTTCCCAAAACTGACAAGTCATCCTTAAATCCATTATATTAAAAACATACATTAAGGAAAATTACTTACTACTGGTAGAGTTAGAAAAAACACTTAGGTTCACATGAGTGATAAAAATCAACCTTTTTCCAAAAATTGTTGAAATTAACCAAACTATAGATTTTTACCTTTTTTTTCCCTGATTTTTACATTATTTCATTCTATAGCAGTCAAATAAACCATAAAAAATATTTCTTTCAAAGCAAATAAATATTCTTCATGGAAAATTATTTCTTTGTTTAAAAATACAAACAAAATCAAAAAATATATTTTAAAAGTTTCAAAACATTTCAATTTCTCATTCGCACTTGTACCAACAGCTGTATTTCTTACAGTTTCCATCTTTCAGAACTTTCTGCTCAAGTTTGAGGAACTCATTATTTCAGAGGTGACTAGTATGTCTTATAACTTCTGCAGAAGGAAATACTTTACAAAAGAAATTATATGTAGGATTTCATAGGCCTTTGACAGTCAGATTCAAACACTGACATCCAAGGTCTCATTTCCTGAACACATGGAAGAAGAGTGGTTAAAGATACAAATCAATAGCTCTGCTGCAATGATCTTCCATTGAAAGATGAAGTAGAAAATGCACCCAGAACTGAAAGAATCACTGCTACCTTATACACATCTCTCCACGAATATGGATTTAAGTGGCTTTTTGCTAAATTACAGCCTGCAGGTCAATAGCTGGAGAAGCCATTATCATCAGGTTCAGCCTTGCAAGTAACTGAAAAGTTTCTTGTGATTCCCAGGCAGAGTCCCAGGGATATCTGCTGGAGATCTGGTGGCCTCTTTACAGCACACTGCAAGAAGACAGGTGCTTTGCATTGCTTATGATCTAACCCAAGACAAAACACTGTAATTTTCACAGTTAAGTGGCAAGAGAATGATCATACCCTGTATTTCCCACCTGTGAGTCACCTCTCTTAACTATATACAGTAAAGCAACAGAGCTTTGTCTTTACCAGGTTTTGTAGGCACACAGTTAAGCACAGTCTTGTTTTGGCTCTAGAGGTGCAACTCAATACTGAAGCCTCCAATCCCACTCACAACAATATATGACAGAAACAACTGGTTTGAAAACAAGTCTACCTGGAGATAAACATTCACTGATGATGTAAACTATGAGGAAACCATTAACTTTGACAGTAAATGATATAGGCTGAGAATACACCGATTTTATTAAAAAGCTGAAGTGGTATTAAATTTATCAGTATTCTCAATGGACTTCCAATCTCTGTATGTTGTAATTTCCATGCAAAAGAAGAGGAATGACCAGAAAGGCTGTTTACTCTCTTCTTTTCCAAAGCAGATAGCAAACCGACCCAGCAGTCCTCATTCTTCACAAGTTCAACACATAGGTTCCAACTGGAAATCTCCCACCCACTGAACAAGTCATCCAACTTCTTACAACAGATCAATGAATTTTTGATAGGAAATATTTTAGTATTTGCATTTTTAATTACCTTTCCTGCTTTCTAGTGATTTTTGAACAAACACTGAATGAATAACATGGTTTGAAGATCAAAAAAGGAGATACAGCTCATTTAAAATATATGCTTATACAACATAGCTGTCAAGAGTGATGATTTTACCATTTAAACCGATTTTTCAAATTGATATAATTTGAGAGGGCTGACATGATATAAATAATGCCAAAAATAGAAACAAAATATTCATTCAGGTAAAACAAGTGCTGTACATTCAACTGAAGGCATGACTTTCCTCCTTTAATTTAAATAAAACTACAAAATAGATACCTTTTTAGAAAAAGTTGGCCAGCAATCCCTTATGCTATGCAGCAAAGAATAGAAAAACACAGCCTAACTAACCAAGATAAAAGACAAAGCATTTTGTCTCTGCCAGATTGAAAAAAAAATGAAAACAAGAAAGTAACACACTGTTTAGAGTGTTACTATACAAAGCATGTGAATTTTTGGTAATGAAAACACTGTGCTGGGTGTCTGTGGCAAGGTTTTTGGAAGTGAAGGGGCTGCAGGAGTGGCTTCTGTGAGGAGACAGAATGAAGGAGTAACAAGGTCAGTGGAGGAGAAGGTGCTCCACGACTGAGCAGGTACATCCCCAGAGGGACTGTGGCCCACACAGGACCCACACCGGAGCACAGGAGAACAGTGAGAAGCAAGGAGCGGCAGAGAGAAGTTGCTATGCACTGACCCCGATCCCCTGCACTGCCTGTTCTCTCACTGAAGGGACTGAGTGTGACCTGCCATGGTACCAAGAAGAGGGAGAGCAGCCTGGAGTGATGTTCAGCCTGGGAAAGTGGGAGGAAAGGTGTCCTAATGTTTGTCTTGTTTCCTGATACCTGATCAGTAATTAAATATTTATGCTAACTGGCAACAAATTAAGTTAAATTCCCAAGTTGAGCCTGTTTTGCCTGTGGCAGTTAACTGGTGAGTGTTTTCCCTTTCTTTAGTTTGACCCATGAGTCTTCTCACTCCTGTTCCTCCTATTTCTCCCCAGTTCCCCCGTCCCACTTGGAGGGTAAGGACTGACAAGCAGCCGGGTGGGTGCTTGGCTGCCAGCCGAGGTCAGGCCACCACAAACATAAACAGTAGGAACAACTTCTCATCATAGCTCCTCAGAAAAAAAATACAGCAAAACCCTCCAAATTCCTCACGCTGTCTGAGTTTACTTACAGTTAGGCCATATTATATTCAAAATTGCTACAATTATAAAAAACCTTATGCTTTCCTGGTCACGTAGGCCAAAACTGTATTACCTTAGCAACAAGGCACAGGAAAAAGAAACAAATCAAAAACCCTCAACAAACCACTGTTTGTATAGCTCTAATGTAAGTGATAGAAAGATACCACACTTCATAAAGCACCACAGCAGACACTTTGCCTTCGGAAAGTCCAATCAATCTTGCCAGATACCTGTGCTCACCACACTTAACAAAGTGTAAGCATGCAAACTTCACCACTAAGCCACCATGAGACAAACACTGATGTGTTGGTCAGCCTAATCGTTTCTCTCACACCCCGAATCACAAACTGATCAAGCAATTGTCCAAATGGTACATGAAATCTATTGAGGTATAAATATCATACCAAGTTCTTACATAGCACATTTCATTTTTCAGTCTTGTTGAAGGTTACAGAGCACATCAATATCCCTATTTCTGTAACTGGGTAAACAGGAACAGATCGTGAAGTGGACTAAACCTAAAGCTAACACGCAAAACAGTGCCAGACCTGGGAAAAGGAAGTTGGGCTTAAGTTCCAGTCCAGAGCCCCACACAGTTCTGCTCCAACTACTGCACTAAAAACACTAGACTAGCATTCATTCACATATGAAGATTTTTGTTCCTTCCATTCAAGTAATTCAGAATTATCTCCAGCCAAAAGAAATAAAGCATTTTTGCATTCCAAATGAAAGATGATTTCAAAAACTTCTGATTGAGCACAGAGCATTAGTCACAAGCAGCCAAATAGTAAGTTTTGCAACTTAGTGCCAAAACTGGTTCTCTCCAAGACTGTCTATCCGTACTGCTGCACGAATATAACTTCCAATCCTGTACTCAATCTGAAGCAGTCCTAAGAGCAGAGCCATTTACTCAGCAGAAATCAGTTTCTATAAGCATGCCAGCCGAGACAGACAGTTCACCCATCAGCTAGACACCAACAGAGCTAAACCTTAAGGATTTTTTCTGCCTTTTTGTTTTTTAGGTATTTTGGATATTGAAAACACTTGAGAATCTATTCCTCAGAATTGTCCTTGGCTTTTTGCAAAATCACATATGATTAATCTCTTGTGATTTCAAGGTTGTCATTTGCTCTCAAGATATTGGATAGTTCCAGAGGCCAGAACAGAATCCTAGCGACTAGCACCCTCCACAGCTGCAGTAACTTTCATTAGGGATTTGAATTCATCATCCTTTTGTCTAAAACTCACAACTAGGAAAATGATAGAATTAAAGTTTCATCAAAAATGTATTGTTGTCTCAAAATTCAGTAATAAGAAAGACTCTAGAAGCTCCACTTGGGAGCACATATGATACTTCATACAAAAAGTATAGTAAGGAAACTAGGTGTTTAAATAATAAGCTGTGTGTCCTTTAAACTAGGCGTCTGAATAAAAGCCTGTAACAGATTGACCACTGGATCACCATTTCAACTACAGTAGATGACTTCAGAATGACAAAGTGGTAACATAGCACTAAGACAATCCGGATAAATTCCCTTAATCGCTTCATACTCAAAATGGTTCACTGTGCTTGAGGGAAGGCCTTGTCCCTCTCCTGCAAATGCCTCCCTAGCAGCGGCCTAAACAATCCGCCGAGCATATCACTCTGAGCGTTCAAGACACGCACCAGGAGCTGCTCTTTGGTAGAAGAAGAGAATTTAAATTACAGAGTGTCAAAGCCACATCTGAACATGGGACTTATGTGGATGAAGGCTCTCTTTGAAAAAAATTACATCTCTCCTGAAGTAAGCAGGGCCTAGGAATGCGGTAATTTGGAAATTATGTTATAAACCTCAGAGCAATATGATTCAATAGTGCTCTTTTAAAGTCATGCGGTACGTCTGACTTATTCTTTTGATCCCACTTAGTTCATTATTCTGTGTCAGTGTAAATGGAGCTCAGCTTCATTACACATACAACCCTCCAACCTACACTTGAACAGTTTAAAGTGAAGTATTTTATTGTTCTATCAACATTTCATTATGTGCTCCTCAATTACCATACCAATATCTCAGTATGGTTTCCCAGACCAGATGAACAGAGTGCAGTGTGAACCACAAACTCAAGAACCACACTTTGATGAGCAGCCTTTATCAAGTGTCCCTGGGAGACACAATCCCTTCCCATCTCCAATCAGGTACTCGTACACCGTAAGAGAGCGGTTTTAAGGGTTTAACAGGGATAAATGTAATAAAACAGGGGTAGAATCTGTAAGATTTAAAGCTCTGCCCTGAAAATATATATGATCTGCTCCCATCAAAGTGGTATATGTATGACTGAGATCAGCCACCACTTTAACAAACCTGCACACAAAATGGTTCTACTCTTCGCCAAAAATTCAAGCCTTCTATGAATGCATTTTTAACTTCTCTTCTTAATAAAGAAGACTCAGAGACAATTCCGGGAATTAATCAGTCTGAATCAGGCATAGTTTCATGTATTTAAGAAATGTGTAAAAGCCAAATTGATGATTCGGCAGGAGAAACTGCAAACCTAAAAAAACCTTAATGTGACTATGAAAAATATTTAAGAATTGATAATCAAATGGTGAAGTGAAGGGACAGAATAAATTAATGAAGAATAGATAGTAGATTTACAGAGCAGAGAATACAGACTTGCTTTAAGCATGAAATCGAAGAACCTGAAAACATACTCTTTGAGATGAAAAATGAGATGTGGACGAGTTGGGAGAATGACAAACAGGCCTAGGAAAGTACAATCTAAAGTGATGGAAAGAGCCAAAATGTAGAACAGAAAAGGAAGAACAGTAGAGGTGGATGCATCTGTGCCTGTGATGATGAGGCTTCTGTGATGACCTTTTCCAGTGATTTAATTCAGCAAAAATTGTGAAATAATATAGAATTTACAATTAAGGAAAAGCCTAATGAGCAGTTAAGATGAATTCTATGATCGATTTTTTTTTTCATGTCCTTCTAAATATAGGTAAATTACAAGTTACTTTTCAAATTCTTTTTAGAAGACTGTATGAAACAGAAACTTGACAGAAATACCTAGTTAGTACCTGCAGTAAAAATGCAAACACACACCAGCACAAACATTCCTAAAATACTCACATTCCCTAGGGTCAAGACTTGGTCAAATACTGCATTGCATAGAACAGGGAAGGCGTCCCCAAGCTTGGGGAAGATCAAACATGAACTTCACCCTAGTTTAGCTCTTCAAACTGTGTTTTAAGTTGACACAAGGAAGAAAAAAAAAAAAAGAGCAAATTCTTACTACTGCATGACAAAAAATGTTGAGAAGCGAGACGTTGATAGCTTTATTTGTGTACAGTAATATACTCGGACTTGAGAAACAAGAATCTACCAATCCTGCGTGAATTCTTTCGTATTTTATAGTATTTCGCTTTTGCACTCTTGACAATTCAACCCCCTTGACATCTCAACCCACTGCCTGTTCAGAGCAAATGGCTTCTGTGACTCAAGTGATGCACAGTAAGGTCAGAGGGAAAGGTACTAATTTTACTCTTGGAAATTCAGAACTCTTAGAAATGAGTCTTCCTATTTCGAAGATGTTTAGATTTGCATTCTGGTGAAGAGGGGTTTTAAAAAAAATAAAAGTAAAGCCTTCTAGAGAGACTAAGTGAGAAACTGCTTTAGAAAATACAAGTTTTCCAATACACTTACCGCCCGAAGAACTTCACAATTGGAGTAACAATAATGGCACCCACAAGGCCACCAATGGCAAAAATAGAAACAGTTATGGACCAGAGGAGAGTCAGCGTGCTTTCATCCACCGAGAAGCCATATCTTCTTTCCCAAGTTTCATTGTAAAACTTCTTGATATACTGAAAGGAAATACATAATAGTTACAACAATACATGTAAAAAAAAAAATCACAATTTAAGAACACAAGTGAGAGAAACAGAATAGAAAAAAACAGTAGCCTGCTTCCAGGAATCACCCTTCCTCTTCTATCTCCCTCCTCCAAAAAATGGGGCCTCACTTCTAGATGCAATTGTAATACAGACTAACTGACTCAGTCAAAGCATACATATGTTTAACCACATGCTGGTCATAAACAAGGTGGGGAAAAAAATACAGATAGACGTGAATGTAGAAGAGGCTTATAAAAGAGAAACTTCTACAAAGCAAGGATGTTATCATTTAGGTTGTTGGTACAATATTAACAACAGTTTGTTTTAGCCTTACTGTGTACACATATTTCAGCCCGAACTAGGGCTAAGGGCTCAGACACAGAATCACAGAATGGTTCAGGTTGGAAGGGATCTCTGGAGGCTATCTTGTCCAAATCCCCTGCTCAAGCAAGGCCACATAGAGTCACTCGCCCAGGACCATGCCTGGAGGTGTTTTTAATATCTCTAAGGAGGGAGACTCCACAAAATCACAGCACTGGTGCTTGGTAAGGCACTGCACGTCAGCTGAGCTCTGCCCACTGCTCACATACATACTCTTAACTGCAGGCAGGTGACGAATCACATCGTACCATAACAGTTTTTTACACAAGTCAAAGAAAACTGCACTGCATAGCATTTGCCATGACTTTTAAAAAAAGAACATGCACAAATTCTTAAATGCTAACTACCATTAGTCAATGATCATTAATCAGAGTCTTATATTAAGAGCAGATAGTTTTACTGCTTTTTCACGGATCTATAGTGCCAGTAACTTTGAACTAAGGAAGGAAAGGAAAAAAAAAGGAAAAGAAAAAGAAAGGAAAGGAGGCTCCAGAGCAGGTAGAGGCGAAAACGTCTTGAAGAAGTTGGTGAATTGGCAGAAATGCAAAGGTAACAAAGAGGAAGAGAGTTGCAACCAATTCCTGCCAGATGGCAACAACTGACATCAAGAGAAGAGTTTGGCTTGTCTTACGGGACACAGCATCAAAATCCATATGTTGAGAGGTTTGGGAAAGTGTGTGGGAGTTCACATATAACTTAAGAAATTCCCAGGAAAATTTTTAAAGATGCTTTAAAAGTTATAGAAGTAGGAATTCTTTTGGCAAAACCCTACACTGTACTCATCATGAAACAACATTCATCATCTCTATTTCGCATTACAGTCCCAGAATGCAGATCTCAGATTTACTTGAAATTAAGTGCTTTTCACTAGTCTATTTTTTCCAAAAGGCCAGTATTGTAAAAGTGAGTGATTCTACAACTTCTTTAGCATAACACTAGAGAAAAAGACAGAGTGAATTGAAAACAATTAGAATTCACGGATTGAGGGAAGAAGGGAGGCTGTGTCCACTTTTGCATTGTATTTATGACACTGTCACATCTGGCAGCCATACAAATTCAAGGACCTACTCAGCCAAGCAATGAAAGATAACATTTTTCTTCCAAAGAATTTACAGCCAAGACAAGTATCTGTTAGAGTAGGAAGGTAAGAGCTGACAGCTGTTGGTTTGATACTGATGGGGAAAAAAAAAAGCCCACAGTATCAGTCAAAAAGAGCTGTCTGACACCATTAAAACTAAGAATCCCAAATCACTTTTATAAGTATGTTATAGCTTTTCCCCTTCAAATTTATATAAGCTGCTTTTTGAATGAAGTTCAGGTTGCTAAACAAGGTAAACAATTTCTTGTCAGCAATAACAGATGTATCAAACATGAAATCAGACACCTAAAACCCTGATACAAATCTATCTGCCAAACAAGCGGGTTCTCTTAAGAAATGAAAACCTGAGACCTGTCTTCTAACTCTTCAGCTATCCTGAGACTTACACTTTTCTCCCACAGCAGCTTAATTTCCTAAAGAGCCTGCTATAAGGGCCCTTCCAAGGTATCTGTTGAAAGTCCAAGTGCCTCCCGAATCTCTGGAGAACTCTGATAGATGTCCGAGTCACAGTTTTCCTTTGCAAAAGCCATGCCAGCTCTTTCCCAAATTCTCACTTTTCTACTACAGTTTCTGCTAGTTTGTCAGGTACAAATAACTAATTCTAAGCATGCATGTTCCAAGTTTTCCCCCTAAAAACTACTTTTTTCTTCAAGTCACATTAACCCTCTCAGCCTCTCTGTTACCAAGGCTATTTAAAAAGAAGCTGAACTGTGATACGAAGCCTATATTTTGAGTTATTTTTTCAGTCTTGAAAAAATGTTACGGTGTTTTTGCAACTTGACACAAAATTATCACTAATTTTATTCCATATTTCTACTGCCATTTCAGCTTCTCCAACACATCCCCTATAAAGAAGGTTCCAGCCTGGGACCTCCCCAGCCTTTTCCAATTCAAAACATTATTTCAGGTTTCTTGTTCTGTCCTTGTATTTTCTGAGCACCGTTTTTCAGCTTCATCTATCAGCCTTATATCCCCAAGCTCTCTGTCCAGACATTTTTTGTGCCTGCCAAAAGTACCCAAACTCCAGGGCCAGCTCACCTTTTTAGCCTTCAATGTGCCAGAGTTGATACTCTTTTTCTGCTTTCCTCACATGAGCACAACTGCAGGTTTTTGAAGGATGCCTTCTAACAACCTCCCTTCCCTGATGTTTAATTACACCAAAGTTTCTTCATCTTTCTAAAAGGTAAAGATGTCATAGCTCCAGTATGACGTTTTTACATAGAGTCTGTATTGCCTGCAGAGACATTGCCTATCTACTTTCCTTCTAGTCAAGTTTCCTGATTTTTATGATGTTCCTGTTTGAAACACTGTGGTGTCTGACGCTCTTGCAAGGATACAGTACCAGGCAGTCACTACTGCAGAAGGGCACAGCACGCTTGTGTAATGCTCTCGCTCATTCTGTGTCACCGCTCCCCAACAAGATCTACAGTATCACAAAGTGTAATCTTGGCACTTTTCCCCAGTTTCTTCTCAGATTTCCTCCAGCATGTCATAGGTACTAAATTATCACGGGGCAGTACTCAGCAGTGTAAGACTAACACCACATTTTCCCTGTTCAAACTAGGAATTTCAAACTTTTGCTATTCCAGCCTTGGACATGTCGTTTATTCTATTTGAGGACTTTATTTAGTTTGCAACACCACCTTTCCACCTGCAAAGTACCTAAGAAAGGTGGAGGTAGAACATACCACCTACTGTCTTCCTTCTATCAAGTTCCTAGTAGGTCTCTTGTGCCCTGAATTAAAAGGACAGGGATCTCTCTCCCATCCTATAAGTTTCTATACAGACAGACAGAAATACAAAAAAGAAAAAAAAAGTCAATTCGGTCCATCTAGAAGAATCTCACAGTAAACTTCCAAATGAATCTGCCATTAATCAAGTAATACATCTTATTTCTAACACAAATACTCAGATTATATTTAGATATCTTCTTGTTCATTTGAAGTTCATTTCTGATAGTAATGAATACTAAGAGAAAACGTTTTTAGAACACTATTAGCATTTCTTACTAATGGTAATGGCTAAAAATAGTATGCAAATTATTCTCCCCTTGTGTTTTACGACTAATTTTCTCAGCATAGTTTTGTTCCTTACAAGGAGACATCAAATAAATGCAAATATTCAAGAAAAAAAAGTACAAACTACAACCCTTAATAGCAACAGACAAATGTGCTGGCATGTACGTCACCTGTGTCAGGATTCCCATTGCCAATAAATGGGAAGCTAGTAACACATACAGGTTTTGAGGAGTTGTACGTGAAAAAAAAACTAATCTGATCCAACAAATCCACCGCATTTGAATCCTTCAAATTATGTGGAAAGGCTCCTTTGGGATTTTAATCAGTTGTCTGAACAACGCTAATGGCATAAACCTGTACACAAAAATTTTAGCCCCTAACCAAAGCCGATAAGAAATGGTAGCTGACTGATATCAGTATCTCATATTCTGCTGCCTCCGTTCATTAAGGTAGTAGTGCTAGGGTGGGAAATACAAGGGGAATATAAGGGAGATATATATATTTTTATATATAAAGGGATATATTTTAAATATAAGGGAAACATTTCCCTTATCTTACTCATAGTTATGAAGGCCACTCTCACACAGTGGTAACTATTGAACTGGCTGACACAGCTGGCTATACATTTTTGCAATAGTCTCACTGTCCCCGCCCGTATCAGCTCGAAAAGGAACGCAGAGCTGCAGCCACCTGCAGAAATGGGGCAGGGGCTGTGCGGCAGTCAGTAGCAGAGACTTTGCTTCCCACACAGAGCACAAAGCACATCATTGTTCTACAGACCTTGACCACAATCAGCCCCTGAAATGAACTGTAGAAATTCAGCTCAGAAAAAGACAGCTTCAACTCATATTTGATTAAAGTATTTAATCTGCTGCTGTTGTTTCACGCAGGCACCAGTGATACAGCCAGGAGCAGTCTGAGAGTATGAAGAAGGATTACAAAGCCCTGGGAACAGCAGTAAGGGACTCAGGAGCACAGGTAGTGTTTTCCTCAATCCTCTCGGTCAAAGGGAAGGCGTTTGAAAGGGCCAGTTGAATATGGCAAATCAACAAATGGTTAAGGGACTGGTGCCACAGCCAGGGGGTTGGCTACTTAGACCAGGGGACTCACTTTGAGAAAGCTGGTATGCTGAGGGCTGATGGAGTCCACTTGTCAGAGAAGAGGAGGAGCACCTTCAGTCACAGGCTTGCCACCCTGGTGAAGAGGACTTTAAACTAAAGTTGCTGGGGCAGGGGAACCTCAATCCATCCCACTTCTACCAGTTTGATGCCAGTGCCAGGAACAGATGCCCAGAGCCCAGACAGGGATCACAGGTCAGCAGGAGCACACCTGAAAAGCAGCACAAAGGAATCCCCCAGCGCCCCCAGCCAGTAACTCCACATCATCAGGAGCCCAACTTAAAGGCCTCTGTGCAAACACAGGTAGCAGGGAGGAATAAACAAGAGGAGCTTGAGACATGCACATGTCTGCAG